GACAAAGGAGAGGGAGGCTGGAGGAGGGAGAATCCAGGGCTAGGAAAGGGGGTTTGTCCCCAGTAAAGGAAAGGAAGGGATGGGGGCGACAGAAGGCAAGGATGAGGACAAGAGTGAGCGCAACACAGAGAGCAAGAAAGGAAAAGGACGTGGGAGACGGACAAGTGGAAGGAGAGAGAAACCAGGAATTATAAAAGTTTTGAATAAAAATCAATTCATCCGAAATATTCAGTGTTTTCATGAGGCAGTGAGACCGAAATAGGAAGGGGCCCTTTATTTTCTTAGGAATAGAACACAGACCGGACATGAGAGAGGAATGGTGGAGAATTTTCCAAACAAAGAGAGAGCCTGTGGCCTCTCAAACTGTCCCCACGCTGAGCTGGCTGGTGTTCCCACCGCAGCCCCCGGCTTTCTCACAAAGGGGGTGAGCTCCCGCCAGAGAGGGGGACCCAGGACATAAGCCTGGTCTCCGTACCCTGATGGCTGGAGAGGGAGACCGCAGAGTGGGGTTCAGGCCACAGCCTGGGGTACAGGGTGGGTAGGAGTAACCAGGGTTAGAGAAGAGGGGTCTCTTCTGGCGGGTGAGGGGGCCTGGTGCTGGGCAGCGGCTTGTCTCCGGAGGAGGCACTTCAAGACCTTGTGGGGCTCATCTTTGCTGGGCAGGGTCTAGAGGGGGCTGGCACTGCAGCGTTCAGGCTTGCAGAATCAGGAAACCTGGGCCTCGCCAGCTTCCTGCTCTGGTCTTCTCTGGACACCATGTGAGGCCGTGAAGGAACAAACCAACCCACTCGAGCTTGTTTCCTCGCTGCTGCTGATGCATGGCAGCGGTGTAGCACCACCTGGGGTTGACAGACCTCAGAAAATGGTAGCACGGTGACCGTGAAATATCCCGGGTGTGCGTTTTTGACGGATCCAACCGCTCCATCGCACACGTGTCTACTACGTCACAGGCACTATGAATACATCGTTGCACAAACGAGATTCTCCGTCTCCCCAGCAGACATTTCAGTGTGCGTGTGTGGGGGGGTGCGGTGCACGGTTAACAGAAGAAATTAAGTCACAGAGTAAAGTTAGAGGGAATTTAGTGCTAGGAAGAACATAGAGCCACCGAGGCAGGTAAGGATGGGGGCGGTTTGCAATTTTAAATAGGCTTGGGAGTAGAGAAGGGGTCAAGTGTTTCCTGCAGAGTTACCAGGTGGGGTGGGGGAGGGGTCGAGGTAGTGCTGCCTGCTCCTTCCAGAAACCGGGAGGTGGGGGGGTCTCACTAGGGCAGGTGGGAACAGGACGAGAGGGAGGAGTCACACGCCTGTGATGGGATTAGTTCTCGATATCTCCGAATTCCCGACAGCTTCCTCACCCCTGTTCTAACTCCCAGGCTCACAGGAAGGTGCTGGGAGGAGAGACAGGAGACTGGGAATGGAGCTTTCTTGGAAGAAACATCCGCACGTGAAAGCCGGATCACAGTAAAAATAGCAATGGCAATAAATTCCTGACTTCGGTCATAAGGTGCACGATCATCTCGGCTGAAACGCTGCCACTAGTCAGAGACGCGGGGTCCGGAGACCGCAAGCCCTGGCGGGCGCCCCGGGACACCTCACCTCTTGGCGACTGGCGCGCCCGCCGCGGGCTGCACGGGCGGGGCGGGGCAGGGTCGGGGGGGCGGGGCCTGCAGGGCCTGGGGCGGGGCCTGAGCGGGCCACGCCCCCTCCGGGCCCCGCGGGCGGGCAGAGCGCACCGGGCGCCGGTTATAGAGCCGCACGCAGGCGGGCGCGGCGCACATTGCTCGCGGCGCGCGGAGCGGCTGCCCACGTGTCTCCCCTGGGTCAAGCCCGCTGTTCCTCCCGCGCTCTGCGCCCCCTCGGCCCCCTCGGCGTTCGCCCGCGCGGCCCGCGAGAGCGGGACCCCGCGCAGTTCCCCGCGCTCAGGGGCCAACTCGGCCCAGCAACTCGGTCCTGAGAGCCGCGCTTGGGGGGGGCCGGGCACTGCGCATGCGGAGCTCCAAATTCAAACAGCTGTTTCCAGGGGCTCGAGGGCCGGCGACCCCGGGCCCCTCCGTCTAGGGGGCGTTCTCTGGCGGGCGGCCGCTCGGGCGCCATGGTGGACCGGGGCCCTCTGCTCACCTCGGCCATCATCTTCTACCTGGCCATCGGGGCGGCGATCTTCGAGGTGCTCGAGGAGCCGCACTGGAAGGAGGCCAAGAAAAGTTACTACACACAGAAGCTGCGTCTGCTGAAGGAGTTTCCGTGCCTGGGCCAGGAGGGCCTGGACAAGATCCTGCAGGTGAGCCGCCGCCGGCACCCCACGGACACCCGGAGCCGACTGGGGCTTCAGGGGTGCTGAAGGGAAGACCCGCTCAGTTTCCGATGACCCTCAGTCCCCGGGGAAGGGCCTGGGGGCGACGGGAGAGGACGTCCCGCCCCGGATCAGGCTTCCAGGGTCTGTCGCTCACCCAGCGGACATGGGGGTCTCCCGTGCGCTGACACTCGTGGCAGCCTGGTTCGCCCGGAGAGAACTTGGGGTGACTCCGTGGCAAACTGGGCCCCTAGTGGCTGCGCGTGCGGGAGCCTCCCTCTTTGGAGGGAGGCCGTGGGGCGGATAAAGGCGTTTATCTTTCCTTGGAGACGCTCCCGGAGTCCGGGAGCCGAGCCTGGTGCCACCCCCTCGCGTCTCCACCTCCCCGCTCCTAGGGCAGCGCCGCGCCCGCCCGGCTTTTTTTCCTTTTTTTAAGGAACGCGAACCCGGCAGAGCTGCGGGAGGGTCCCCCAGCCTGAGCCCGGGCAAGATCTCTCCACCCGCGCAGGGCTCCGGAGAGGGGTCAGAGGCGATGGCCGGCCTGAACCCGCGGGAGGAGGGCTGGTGGCTGGAGTGCTGGGGACACGCTCAGGCTTCCGGGAAGGCTTATCTTGAGGAGACATCCTCAAGGGCTTGCAGTTAAACTCTGCGAAAGTAGCAGGTTGCACAAACGAGCAAAAGCCAGATAGGCCTTTTTGGAAGGGGAAGGAGAGCCTATGCGGAATTGGGGTGGGGGGCGGGAGTTCGCTCGGTGCCGGCACTGGGAGTCGCTCGTCCGCAGATGCCCATGCCCTGTGGATGGCATTGACCTCTCTCGGATAAACTGGGGCTGACCATCCTGACTGGGACCTTGGGCCGATTTGGGGGCTGAGGCCCTCTATCCCAGTTTTTCAAAGGCTCAGCCTCAGCCATCCACCCTTCTTGGCCTGCACTAATCCCCACCTCCCCCACCCCACCCAGTGGAATGACCAGGACCTGGGTAAAAGTCCTAGATTGCAGGGGAGAAGTAGGGGTAGGTTGTCCAAAGTGTTAACGTTGCTCTTGGGGTGAAAGACGGCAGAAAGGAGGTCTGACGAGGAGCAGCATTTAACCTACAGCAGCTCTCCAATACTTTATGCCTATCTACTTGTCTCTCATTTTCCAACCTCACTTTCCCCACATGAGAAATGGGAACGAACCCATCTTAGTCCCTCTTTGACTGTGGCAAGGTTGAAAGTATTTGGAAAACGAAGACATCTTGCCAGCTGTAACCCCTTTTTGTCCTCAGATCTGTGGACATTCACACGGATGAGCATACAGGTGTCTCTTGGCAGCTGGGCATGCAGAAAATTGTCCCCTAAGGAGGCAGAAGGGGAGGTTTAGTCCAGCAGGGGCTCAGTGTTGGGTTTTAGTGGAGAGTCTCCTATCCTGGCAGTTTCCCGGGTGAGGGCAGGTGGGGAGGTGATTCTGGGAAGGGTGAGCTTCAGAAGGTCCTTGGCTGGTTTAGCGCTTAGTTACGGTGGGAGTTCTGGGATGCCGAGCTTCCTTCTGACGGGTGTCTCCCCTGAAGTGTGTGGTGGGGGGAGGGGGTCACTTTATAATTTCCCTCGAGGGAACAATTCCTCTGGAGAATGAGTTTTTGTCTAGTTTGCTCCCCGGTTTTGTTGAGAGGGGGAAGAGGGCAGGCAGGGATGATAAAGCCTTGAGCTGCCCTCGAAGTGTTGCCCTCTAAGCTGTTGCTCCGCCACTGCAGGGGAAGGAAGGAAAGAATTCAAGGCTAAATGTGGGAAAATAAACTTCAAAACACAAGGAGAAGGGAAAGAGGGGGGCTCCAGGGGTTAGGCAGCCGGGTGCAGCTGGTGGTAGTAGCTTTGGAGACTAGACAGCTTCCTTAAGGTATTTGAACAAACAAAATGCCTCCTACTTTTAGGTCCTGCTAAATGTGTCAACAGTTACTCCCCCAAAGGTACACAGGTAACTTTTAGAAAAAGGATTTGGGCATCAAGCTAGTCCTATTTGGAGACCGTTACAGATATGTTCTTGAACAAGGACAGCTCTGTCCCCAACCCTAGCCAAAATCCTCAAACCATCCCCAACTGAGCGAGTCCCCTCCCTTTGTAGGAAAAACCCAAGAAACGAAAATGGACCAGTGGAAGCATTTGCTGGCGTCAGTTGTAATCTGCTGAAATCTGCCTGGCTCTGCTTTCTGATCTGTGACTTGGGACACTGCCTTAGGCCTTAGGAAATTGGTTTAAGGAAAAATGAAAACTCAAAAAAATCTTCTTTCCCATCTGGCCTCTTGGGTATTTTCCACCTGGGGTTCTGTGTTTTAGCTGGTTCTGACTCACCTTGCAATCCTAAAGGAGCCCCTGGCCAGGACTTCCTGGGGTGGCAGCCGGGAGGGGCAAAGATTGTTGGAAGGCAGGCGGGTACAGTCTGGGTTGGGGGTTTTCTTACGCTTTGAGATGTATGAGAAAGGATGTTAACACACCTTTCTTTAGAAATACCCCCGGACTCGTCAGCTGCTTCCTCTCCCGCTCATGGTGCGAGCGCTTGAACTGAGGTGCAGGCTGACTTTGAAGTGCTCAGTGCCCCGCCAACCTGGGGACACGTGGTCGCCCCCTTTCCTGCCTTCAGAACCATCTTGAACCCTTACTGTCAAACAAGATTTTTGGTGACCTGCTCTCCCAGCCTCTTCCTAAATTGCGGAGACTCCACAAGGGAGATCAGCATTTTCAGCACCCCTACTCTGTGTTGGGCATCGTTGGTGTTATTATCCTCGTTTTACAAGAGAGGGCACAGCCTGGTTTTGCTGTCTGGCTCGCCCACTTACCCATCAGGCCGTTTAACTTAACTTTGCTTCCCTTTTCTCGTGCAGTGAGGGTTTGGTGCGGCTCCAGTAAAATATTACAGAGACGTCAGGCAAGATGTATATAGGAAGGGAGCAGGTCTCCTGACCTGAGCATTTATTGAGCACTCACGGAGCAAGGCAACTTGCTATGTGCTTTACCTGCCTGCATTATTTCACGTACTCTTTACGGTGACCATATATATCCAGGTAGGGACCCTGAAGCCCAGAGAAGTTAAAGTGACCACAGTGACACAGCAGGAGGCACGGCAGGTTGGAGGGAGACCTGGCAGTCTGCCCCAGGAGCCTGCACCTTGGCGTACCTTTGCCCTCCCTCTTGGGCATGTGAAAACGTTGAACGTTGCTTTGTGAGTGAATTGGTTTGGCTAGACTCTGGTCTGGAAAATTCTATTTTCTCTTTCCCCTAGAACAGGCAATGGCATGCAGGTATCTCCCGTGTTGTCGCCCGGTTGACCCGGCACCTCCTCCGTTACTGAAGTAATGCGTCAGTCCACCCTGCACCCCAAAAAAGCAGAGGACTGGGTTGAAGGGGGGAATGAGAGCCCTTCTCAGTCTTCTGCCTCTCGATGCAGTGATCATAAACAGGAGGATTTGAGAGCTTGCCGTGTGCTAGACACTGAATAAGTACTTCACGTGCATTCTAATTTTAATGACTACCGCATGAATGAGGAAAATGAAAGATGACGGAACTTGCTCAGGATCATGCGGAGCAGAGTCAGGTTTCAAGTCTGTCTTATTTCAAAGTACATGGGAATTAGTCAGCAAGCATTTATTAAGCACCCACTGTGTGTCAGGCACTGAGCAAGCCTCCAGGGATACAGAGAATTGAGTTGGGCTCAGAACTATTGGGGAGGAGGATAAATAACCCCACTGGGAACAAGATAGTGGGGTGGGGGCCACAGCAGAGGTATTCAGGAGGGTCTCTTAATGAGGGGCCCCCTGTCCAGCCTGAAGGGTCAGGGAGAGCTCTCAGGAGATAGCCTTCAGCCAGAGTGGGGTCTTGGAATTAGAAGGTCCCAGCTGGGACAGGAGGGGGAAGAGAGTCCTAACAGGATGGGGGACTGCCCTTTCTCCCAGCTCGGGGAGGGAGACTGCCATGCCGCCGCTCTGGAGAGTCCCACGTCTCCCGTGGGTGGCGTCTCCTGGGGCCACTCCAGGTCCTGCCCTCCGCTCTGGCATCCCAGACCAAACTCTGGGTTTTCTGAGACTTCTCACATAGCTGACCCATTCCTGGAAGCCTCATGCGTCCCACTGGCCCCCTTCCCTCCTAAGTGCCAACGTGCATTATTGGATTCTACGGTTTTCCACGTGCACGGCCTTTCGCTTTCTAGACCCTCGGAACTACGCTGTACGTACTCCAGTCTGCAGTGGTCAGGCCGATTCGAATTTTGAGGTTTTGACATCCTGTTATTAACACCAGTCTTCCCTGAATTTGAAAAATAAAACCCCGGAGTATGTGATGAAATTAAATCTGGGGTACGTTGAATTTTAGGGGGAGCTGAGGGTTAATATGAACACCTCCTTTGTTTCAAGCTTCCTTGGAAATTGTGAAATGCACTGGTCCACTTAACTGCCTTTGTAAGGGAAAGGAACACAATAGATCTTTTGAGGATCTTGGAGGCCTCCCCATGGCCAGCTCTGAGCTTGAGTTCTCGAGTCTAGGACTGCTGAAGTGGAAAGTGGATAAGTTGGATTTTTGAGAGCAAATGGAAGAAAGAGGTCTCTTCCTGATGGCTCATTTCTTATTTATATTCCACTCAAAAGTTTAGGGCAGCAAAAACAAAAACCATCCTCAAATCGATAAATCTGCCTTAATTAACTGCTCTGGTTAGAGTTTTATTAAATCGCTTTGAGAGTTTTACTAGAGCCCTTGGGATGGTTACAAATGGCACGGTCGTAGAGAATTATTGAGGATAGAAATTAGTAAGTGTGAGCCCAGGAGTTTGAGGTTGCAGTGAGCTATGATGGCACCGCCGCACTCCAGCCTGGGCAACAGAGCGAGACCCTGTCTTTTAAAAAGCAAAAAATTAGCAAGTGTTGAAAGGCTCCAGTGGGAGTGGGGGAGTCATACAGGAGGGACTGCAAGGGAGGTGATGATTGTTGCTTCTAAGTATTTTCCTGGGGTTTTGCCCTATTTATA